TGATTGATCAGCACTGTTGTTCCATGGCTCAGTATTCACATACTGGAACGCGTAGGCGCTTGGCTGACGTCATCTGAGAGAGTTGAATCAACATATAGGTATTGACCAAACTCGTGCAACATCCTGATTTTCATCACATTTGTTCCTCTCAATGCTTCGTTTTTTCAGCCTCATTCACGGTATTGAATATAATATTGCCCCACATCAGACGCAACACATCTGATATAATATCTACTTATGTCTTTGTTTCTGTTAGCCACATGCCATTAAAATGTACAATTTCGCGGTTTCAACGATTTTTGCTAGTGCATCAGTTGTAAGGTAACAAAGTCACAGTAGAAAACGTAACGGTAATTTATTTATTAAGAGGACTCATAGACTTTATACAGGTGTTGCACTTTCATCTGGTCCATGTTCCATTTGTTCCTCTTCAGTTCTGAGCACTGGAGGCAGTCGCTTTAAGATGGAATCCACCAAGTTGACTGTGAAACAGAATTTGTAGTAACATAATTGTAGTTAACTAAATGGGATAAGCGTTTAAAGATGATTCAATTTAGAAAGTTAGTAGTATGGGACTGAGAAATATGGACTATCAAAGATGGGGATAGATAAAAAATAGGTGAGATTATAGGAATGCTGGTAGAAGGTAACTATCATGTCAGTAGCAACTGCAAGCGAAGACCTTTTGGATGCAGAAGTCGGGGTCCAAATTTATTATGACAATCTCCTCGGTAGACCCAAGCCGCATTGGGCTTCAAAATCTGACGCTAACACGGAACACCTTGAGTTTATTCATACGGAGTCTTATTCCTAACTAAGCACGTTTAATAGCACTTGATGAGAGTATTCTTCGAGAAGTTTCAGAACGTGCTGGTCAACTTCTGCGATTCAGTCTCTTCGGCGCATGGTAAATGACAAGCACATAAAAGTCAATTGCAGTAATTGAAGTAGATGCGATTTGTGGATCACGGTGGCAACCGGAGCACAGAATCGCACCAGCAATTGCACGCTAGAATCTCCTATCACCGAGATGCTGGAAAAGGTCACGTCATTAGCAGTTCCTTGATTGAGGAAAATCAACAAGATTGAATAACATGTATGAAAGGATTTTATTGGTTATACAGGTATCCACCATTGGCCTGTTTGTATTCTTGACGTGATACAGTGTCTGTCTGGACTCGCTAACTCCTGATTGTTCCGTATGATTTACCTATGCTCCGCTGTCCAGAAACTGGGACGCGCTTGGTTGGCGTTAACTATGAGTGTTGACTCATCACAGTTGTCAATAGACTGTAACGCGTCGCACCAAGGCTGACGTTATCCCATAGGCTAGGATCATCACATTCATTCAGGTTCCAATGTACTGGATCACTAGCGTAATTTGATTTGTTCGGACTATTGGTTCGCTTTCTTTTGTTAAATTGGGCAGAATTGGACAAGAGTGAATTGTGCAGAACTGATGCAAGCAATATCTTCTCTCTCTCCCTCTGTCTCGCTCGACAGTTTACGCACAACCATAATAGCTTTCTGACTGTTCATAAACACCTTCACGGGCTGCCATATGTATGCCATGTATCGATTTATGTGAATAGCTGCTTGATTGCACGTGAAATTGATTGATATTATCCATTCTTGAAGTAAAACTGTCCCTATTGAACGTACCCCCATAGTTCTTTTTATATGACATCTTTGCCTTCCAGTTTGCGCGGTTTCATTTGTTTGCGTTAAGTGGGTCGTTCATTTTTTACTCCCTTCGTTGACTGTTTATGTTTGTGTGTGTGCGTGTTAAACATTAAATCGGATACACATCCTTATCACGAGAATCGACCGTTCGGTTTCCGCTGTTAGAACTTCGAGTGGCCAACTACGTANCCGGGATGACGGTAGAACTCTGTTTACCAGCCAGACCCAGTGTAGCGCTAACCCCGGAAAAGCATCTAAATCGCTCACATCTCTTGCCAGGAATGTGTAGTAGTTGAAGTAGGCACACATCACGAATTACGAACCACAAATGAAGAATAAGAAATCAAGAATCACGGACGCAACTGGAACGCTGAATTGCACTATCACTTGCACGCTGGTATCCCACGTAACCGAGAATCAAGGAAAGGACCACAGAAGAAACAGGTCATTTTTTGAAAGAAATCACTGGGATTAAATAACACGTCCAAAGGAAGTATATTAGTTATACAGGTATCCACTAATTGCGTGTCTGTATTCTTGATGTCATGAATCTTCCGTCTAGATCGCGCGACTTCTGATTGGTCAGCACCATTGACCTGAGGTTCGTTGTCCAGAAAATTAAACGAGTAGGCGGTTGTCTGGTGGCATCTGGGGGGATTGATTCATCACAGTTGTCCAGAAACTGTAACGCGTCGCACCGTGGCTGGTGTTATCCCGTGAGGTAGGATCATCACAGAATGGTTGTCACTACCCTACCCATGCCCAAATTTGAATTCTACCGAATTCGGTGAGCCTGCAGTTTTGTTCGGACATTTTCAGTGGTGAACACGTGACTAGTTTACTATGCCTAACTGTGGTAATCCCAGCCTGCGAGATGACGCATACCATTGAGCAATACGTTACAGTTTTAGAACAGCTGTGATCAATCAAGCTTCACGAGTGACATCAGCAAAGCACGTGCGTGCCACAGCTTTCGGATTCCATTCCATAGGTCAATTGTACCAGCCAATCAGAAACCGTGCGACCCAGACAGAAGCTGTACTACGCCAGAAATACTAGCATGCGATTGTCAGAGGTCCGGATGACCAATGAGCTTGTTTTGTACATATTATTTAACCACCCTAATTCATTTCAATAAACGAACTACCACTCCTGTGGCCTTTTTTCCTCGCGTCTCGGTTACGTGGGGTAATATGTGCAAGTACCGTTCAAGTTCACTGCTTACGTGACGTGCGTGACTACTATTCGGTGCTTCGTATTCCGATATTGGTATTCCGTGATTAGTGTTTCATGTTCATTGCATGATACTAGTACCATTACTGCAACCATTACACTAACCGACTGACATGACATCAGCAGAATTACTGACTCTCCATAGCTTCACAAATTCACTGATCGATAGAATCAGAAAGTTTCTAACTTATAATACTACATGAGCGGACGACTCGCTTCATCCGCGACAAAATGGCACGGTCGGTAAGGTGCGTTTTACTCGGTGATAAAGCTGCACACAATAAACCATTGTTTTTCGGTGCACCGCGTGTGTATTGCGCGACCTCTAACTTGCGAGTCTATCGAAAACAGGTTTACAGGTGATCCACATGGACAGAAACACTAACGTTGACGAGGTGTAGTTGTATGGCGGGATACAGGGTTACGTAGGTATCTGAGGTCTTTATCGGACCATATTTATTTGATTCGAACTCGTGTAGGAGTTAGGTAACGGTACACAAATAGTTTACTAACCTAACCATATAAAATTACAAAGGCAAGGTTTTTTGTGGTAAGCTGCCTTTCATGGTTTAAACAGAATTGCTAGTGGTAATAAAAATAATAACGTCGTTATCATTAACATCATCATTATCGTCATCATCGCCTTCAACCGCACTAAGTGCAAAGGACTACCAACGAATAGTCGTGAATATTAATCCGATTATAGCATTAGAGAAGAGCTCAAAGTAGATGATCAATTGTCAGTTGTACATGGAATGATATCAAATGTGCACAATAATGAAAATAGGTAGTAAATTTAGCGATAAGCGTTGAGAATCTAGCAGTATTGGGCAGTAGGAACGTTCATTGATGTCCTCGATTGGTGGACTTTGATTAGGTGATTAGTTGAAGCAATTCAGTAGCAGGAAATTTTACATGGGGAGTAAATCCTAATCAGGGAATTTATTTTATTCCGGTATATTTTGGTCCCGTTACGGTGAATAGGGAAAATAACTGCTGGTTATAACAAGCGTTATCATATAGAGTGCGAGATATTCTGATTTAAGACAAACACTTCATAAAAGTACACTCTGACAGACATATCCCCATCCTGGGATTTTCAACAATGTCGATCAACATAAAAGCAATAGATTTTTTGTTCGTATCAAGACAGTCTTCTACGAATATAATTGTCGGCAAATAGATGTACACTTTTGTCGAGTAAAGGTAGTATCAACGGAGGAATCGAATCACGAAGACACCTGTAACTGTACATGTATATACATGTTTTCCGGGTATAAAAATCGTCTGAATCTATATAAAACAATATTTCAAGCCATGCCAAGGAATGGAAAATAAAAAATAGCGTCAGCCTTTGTATCTTTTTCAGTTGCTGCTCGTGTTTTTTTTCTTCTAATTTTCTTTTTTGTCTTTTTAACGGAAAAATCATGAAGTGAACTGTGGAAATCGAAGGAGATACAGATTACGGATCACGTATCACGGCAGTGATTAAAGCACAAAGTCACACTAGTAATTGTATGCTGAAATCCCCCATCACCCAGATGCGGGAGAAAGACTACAGAAGTAGTGATTCGTTGACTGAAAAAAAAAATCGTTGGAATTAAACAGTATGCAAATAGAAATATCACTGATTAGATGAATACCAATCAACCACCGTTTTAGTTCTTCGAGTCACACAGTTTCCGTTTTTAAACTGTATGGTTCCTGGTTGATCTATATTGTTGGTCCATGGTGAAATGTCCATAAACTGGAACGCGTTGTGCTTGGTTGGCGTCAGTCATATCGGAGGGTTGAATCAACAAAACCGCTCAATCTGACTCTGCGCTAAGTTGCCCCGTTGCTAAAACTGATTATCGGTTTGTCAGGAACAGCATAAAAAAACATCTTACATCTTGGTCTTTTTTATTTTATTCATAAAAATCATTATTTCATCATTTAGTGTGTTGATTCTTCTATCTACCTATATACGAAGGTACTTTTCCCTCGACTCATTTGTTCATTGAACTCGTCTCAAACTTGAAACCGTTTCACCGGGTTTGTGATGGAACCGAACATAAATTACATGCGTTGATCTCTCGTTATAGACAGTTAATCGTAGACCAAGCGCTCGTAATCCACAGTTCCATATCGCTTTGGCTGGATTGGCAAACATATACACGAGTTATGTGTCCACTCCGGAAGAATACCAAGTAAGTCCCGTGTGTTTTTGTTTTTATAAACCACGATAAAAATAGGGAACCTAACTGCTCTCTAATGAGCAGCAGTCACCTAGGTCTGGTACGTAATTCCTTCAAAATTTATAGCTTCCATTATCACCTCCTTTTCGTATGTTCTTTGAGAAAAACGATTGACTTTCCTTTTTTAAAGTAATTTTGCTCTTCTTGAAAGTCTACGCGTAACATTCTTGAGTTTAGCATACGTTGAATAATCCGAGCTTGGAAAATAGAAACTAAGTGTATGTTTTTTCCGAACAGAGAGACGTCTAAAAATTTCACCATCTGCAAATGTCATATTCCGGTATGAACATTGCTGGCTAGCCCTCACTCGTGAATCGAAATCACATGTCTGTGTGTTTGTCATAGGTCACACTTTCAACTTTATCGATTGGGTCAAAAATCAGTTCCTCTTCAGTCACGCGTATCATAAGACGTTTTGGCATCGTCCAATCGAAGAATTCTCGTCATTCTTTGACTGATCATACCAGATCAGCGAGATGTTACTGCGTTGTTGCTATGTTCTTGATTAAACGCATGATCGATATGAGCGCCTCTTGCCTAGCCCCTCAAAATGAGACGCGAAACCGAACACGACTGGAAAGCAGCAGTCAGAATGTACTGTAGTGATCATGACGCGATGCGCGAATATATGTGGGTAAATTGGGCGTACGAGAATGAATTGGTGACGCACCAATCGGATCACGTCTTTGACACTCCGATTGGTTCGATCGAACGATAACGAACGATAACTGTCTGATTCGTCCTGGTCATCCAATCCGGAATCGACTCACCTTGGGCGTCGCGAGTACACGTGTGTTGTGACACGGGTCCGTACGCGACATGGCGGCTTCCGTGAGCTCCATCCTAACAGCTATCAAATTTACTCGAAGTGGATTGGTTTTCAAGATTCGAGCCGATCGGAATACTTCTTTCCTATACATCCGATGGTATGGTTAACTATCGTCAGGCTCCAATTGGCCTTCAGGTGGGTTTAGTTTGCAGTTTCTAACATCAGTGATTGATGATCCATGCATTTAGCATACAACTGAAGAACTACTTCTACTCTGCATGGCGTAGTGGCTCGATTTTTAGCAATAAATGAAAACAACACTATGAAATATGTCTTCGGATCACGTGGCTTAGGCATTTGCTATACTAACTTTTTATTTTCCTGAATGACAAGCAAGATTTGTGGTAGGGTGAATAAATCCCTCGAGTGCAAAGAACAGGGTACAATTGAGGCATAGGTGCATCATTCAAAAACTCAACTTTGCAATTCTGCTTGTGAAAATGAAGAGCTTACAAATAGAAGTAACACAGAACAATAGAGAGAGTTTTCCAGAAGTTCGTAGTTCTTGAGAAACGAAGGCTTGAAAGCCCTTTGCATTTACTTCGTAAGGATGATTTACTGCTTTTTGACGTGACTCGCGGACAAATGAAAGTAGAGATGGGGACAGAATAGTCAGCTCCATAGAGACAAAACTATGGTAACAACGGTAGAAAAAGAGTAGGGAGAGTGGATGGAGGTTGAGGGTGAATGTTAGGGTGGGAGTAAGAAACAGGGTATAGTTTGAAATCATCAAAATAAAAGATAAAACTCAGATCGTGATTTAGTTGCTTTTTCAACATTCGATTTATTGGGACTTCTTAATAATGACAAGAGATGGAAAAACAACCGCAATTCAAAAATATGAAATCTTTTCGCACACGCTGTACCGTTTCGAGAATACAAGGAGACAAGGATAGAGATGAGGCGCACGGAAAGAAGTATGGACATTTGTATTTTCACAGACTGTGTACCAAACAAATCACGATACAATAATATTTATGAGAACGAAAAAATCAGTGAACTGCTCGAGGGTAGGATATTGTAAGGTTGCTGTGGTATTTGAAGTAGGTACGGATTACGAATCACGAATCACGAACGTAACTGAAACACTGAATCACACTAGCATTTGTGCACTGGAACTTTCCGTCACCGATGTGCAGGAAAAGGGCCACAGGAGTAGCGGTTCGTTTATTGTAAGAATTTAATGGAATTAAATNTTAAATAATTTGCAAACAGAAATATCATTGGTTTAAAGAATATCGACCAATCACGGTTCTCGTTCTTCGAGCCGCGCGGCTTCTGTTTGAACTGTATGGTTGTTGGTTGATCGATACTGTTGGTCCATGGCGGAATGTCCATAAACTGGAATGCGTAGGCACTTGGGTGGTCTCATTAGGGAGGGTTGACGTACCACAGTTGCCCAGGCCAAAGCAGGCGAATTTTCCTAAAGAGTTCACAACCGGGGCCTTCGGATGGCCAAAGCCTTACTTACAAGACAGCGGGACAGAATGGAAAGCCCAAGGTGCCCACTACAATTTGATACCCCACGGCCAGGAAGGTGTTTGCGTGGCTCGTACGC